ACAGAGCATTGCAGGTTTCACCATCTTATAAAATTTTTCTTTCAATGTAAGCGATACTTTTCTATCACACAATAAGCCCAATGCATTCCTCCATTTCAACCAACCAATTTGAATTCTATTAATATCATCACCATCTATATCACCATCACTTTGAACAATAAACCAAGATATCTCAAATGTTTGCACCTTTTAATGATTTAATCACCCATAGTTACAACTCTGCTACTAGAACTACTGCTACTAAAATTACATTCCATGTATTCAGTTAAGTTCTACTCAAGCAGAGGCCTTTAAACTCCAATGTAGACATCTATAATTCAATTTTTTCCCAAACTCTTTCTCTATTCTTATCCACAAGAAGGATATCATCAGCCAAATGCACCAAGTTACATCCTTTTGTGAATGTCGAGTAAGAGCATCCATAATTAAAGCAAAAGGATATGGGTTGTCGATCCCTATTGTAATTCAACTGAAATAGGAAAATAGTTGGACAGTCCTCCTTATGTTCGAACAAAAGTAACAACTTTAGCATACAATCTTTAATGACTCAAATATATGTCATCTCAACACCTTTTTTTTCTAACTCTTCAAAGGACTTCTCTTGGAACCTTATCGTAAGTTTTTTTTAAAATCAATAAAAATTATACACAGATCCTCCTTATTCTCCTATACTTCTTCTTCAAACCTCTCAATAAATGTATAGCTTCCATAGTAGAACTACCCGTCATAAATCCAAACTGATTATGAGAAATCTTTGTATCAGGTCTTAACCTACATTTAATTACCCTCTCCCATAATTTTGAAGTATGACACATCAGTTTAATTCTTTTGTAATTTGCATACTCTTGTGCATCCCCTTTATTCTTAAAAATGTGAACCAAAATACTCTTCCTTCATTCTTTACGAATCTTTTTAGTGTATAAAATAATATTAAAGAGTTTATTAAGCCAAGAAACTCTTAAATCTCTTAAATATTTTCACACTTCAATTGGGATATCATCAAGTGCTATTGATTTTTCATCATTGATTTTTTTAAAGTCTCATCGACTTCTTTTTTGCTAATGCGAATATAAAAATGAAGCATTTTTGTATTATTAACGATATTAAGATAACTAAGATCGTTCATATTTTTATAAACTTTATTGACACGTTTATCAAACTATTTCAGTCATTATAAACTTTATTGACACGTTTATCAAACTATTTCAATCATCTATGTTGAATATATTTTTCTAAAAAAAATGTTTTTTTTTATTTTTCATCTTTAATACACTTTATTTGAATTAAATATTTACTTTTTTTCTTTGTTTGGCTAGTTTATAAACACACACACACACACACACACACACACACACACACATATATATATATATATATATCATTTTCTTTAGTATGTAATCTCTTATAAAGATTACTAAAACTAGAATTTTTAACTTCACAAATTGTTCTCTTAGATTCCCTACAGTTCATCTTATATTTTTCTCATCCTCTAAGCTTTACATTTAAATCAATTTTTATATCACTTCTTATATTTTTTCTTTTCTTGCACATTATTATTTCACCAACTATTTTTAGTTATATAAACATTTTGTTTTGATTTTTCAAGTACTTTTTTTGTCACTTATTTATTAGTGTTTGTTACTTTATCCCATATATAATTTACTTCTTTATGAAGATCTCAAAACTTGAAATCTTAAAGTTTTATAAAAATAATTTTATTTGTCTTTTAGGTGCCCCCATCTAACTCTATGACAATGATCTCTATTATTTTATCTTACAACTATTCATCTTAAAATATTGAACTAATAATCGATATTGAGTACTTAAATTTTCTCTTAGAATGACTTTACAATATTTATATTTTCGATGATCTATTTTTCTCATAAGAAAATAATTAACATAAGAAAATAATTTTAATTTATGTTTTATTAGATCAATTCTTATAACTAATAATATGCTCATCTCTTTTCTTAAATAAAGTATTAACAATAACAAAACGATAAGCTAAAACAAAATCTAATATGAATTTTCCTTCTTCATTAATCACTCCAAAACAGTAATCACAATGAATATTTTTAAAAATTTTCATCTCTTTTCCAACATGTCCATTTAAATCTTTTTCAATAAAAAATATTTCATTAAGAGATATCATTTGTATTTATTCTTCTAGATCTTTCCATAATTTTCTTAAGAACCCATATTCAAATCTACTAGAGGAAAAGCAGCACTTATAATATTAAAAATTTTAGTATCAACAACAATCTTAAAGGCTATAATTATGTCTTATTCTATTAATTTTTATAATATTATCTTTTAAATTTTTATCTATAATTACGCCTACACAATTTCTAATGCGACTCCTATTAGAATACAAGTTTAAAACCCATGTTATCTTTCTTTTTAGTCTTATCCCCAATTCATTTAGTTTCTTGAAAACATAAGATATTTATTTTTTTATGAATCATAATATCAACAAATTTCATTAATTTTTCTGTGAGAGTTCATATATTCCAAGCTCTTGTCCTAATATTAGTTTCACATGCTGACTTTTTTACCTGCATCTGTCCATATTATGAGAACCTTTGCTTATTTGACACTATACCCGGGCGCCGGTGTAGTGACTCTTGCACACTTTTCTCTATATCCAGGTCATACATCGCGTCGCTTCTAGGGGATGTACTAGTATTTACACAAAGATCTAAAAGATTCATGTCATGATTAACAATAACAAAATCATATGTTAGAACAAAATTTAATATGATTCTATCTTCTTCATTAATCATTCAAAAACCAAAGCCACCGTGATTATTTCTTAAATCTTTCATCAATTTACCAACATATTCATTTAAATCTCCTTTAATAAAAATTCTTTCATCAAGATGTATCATTTGTATTAATTTTTTTAGGTCATTCCAGAATTTTCTTTTAGAACTTATATTTAAACTTATTTGAGGAGCATAAGCACTTATAACATTAAAAATCTTAATATCAACAACAATCGTAACAGTTATAATTTTATTTTCAATTCTATTAATTTTTATGATATTATCTTTCAAATACTTATCTATAATTACGCATATACTATTATAGTGCAACTCCTACTATGTATACATATTTTATTTATGTATATACATAGGTATGTATATACATATACATACCTGCATACTTACATATGTATACATATGCATACATACACATACATACATGTATGTGTGTGTGTATTACATAAGACACACATTCACGCCAAAGTGACTTTTCTTAATCCTCGTTCCTTCTCTTTGGCTTATCATACAAGCCCAAAAAATCTTTCACGCCAAAGTGACTTTTCTTAATCCTCGTTCCTCTTTGGCTTATCATACAAGCCCAAAAAATCCTAGAATGCGGGTTAAAAAGGCAAAGTTGCCGTGTCTCTCGCTCTCCCACCACCCACACCAATCTCCTTTTTGGATGGGTTAGGAGAAGAACCCAAGAACACTTAATTCCTTCATAGAATGTCTAAATTTTTGTCACAGACAACTCTTGCAAAAATCTTCTATATCTCAACCCAAGATCAATATATTAGTCTATATAAAATTATTGTTGCATATATACATAAATTTAAATCCAAATACATATAAACCTACATATTTATATGTATTATGCATACATTTATATTCATTTACATTCTAATTCAATTTAGGGTTGACCCGTTTAAGTTTGATTAGAGCTAGATTTGACTGGTTAATTATATTATCTACTTTGCGAGCTCGATTTGAATAAAAATTTCATTCAATTTCTACTGATTTTTTCAAAATTCATCATTCTTATTATTTATCATGCATCATGGTTAGAAGACATGCATATATTCAGAAGTGGATGAGTCTCAACCATTGAACCTCGAAAGAGGCAAGACAGAATTATATGTCAGTAAATAAGAATGATTTTATTGTAGATGCATGCTTCATATTAGTAAATACGAATGATTTTGGTAAAAATCATTGACATGAGTGCTTGTGATAGTAACAATATCCATAGTGATTGTTTGCGGTCACTCAGATGCTCCATGATAAACTTTTTTGATATACTTCTCGATGTTAACAATATCCATAGTGATTGTTTGCGGTCACTCAGCTCGATGGATTCTTTATATGAATATTTTTAAACGTTTTAGCATGCTAATGAAGAATTGTGATCCATTATGATATATTTCATCAAAAGTCGCTGTTAATGGATTTGTGAACTAGAAATAGAGCTTTGATGACATTACAAATGTGTATATTATGTTTAATAAAACCATAAATTTCAATGCCAAAAGCAGTACCATTCTCTGGTCGAAGGTAATCTGGCCGTTGCTATTGCTATTTTTCAATTTGTCATAAAAAAAAGAAGAATTATCTATCTGTTCTTTAAGAAAATTTTCTCATGACAATGCAAAGGATTGAAAGAAGATATTAGCAAAAAATACAGATGAAACAAAATATGAATGGCCATTTGAAGCATCAGAAGTCATGTATAAGCTCGACTGTACTCTTTGAGAGTGCTTCAGTTTGGGTTATTTGAAATCAAGATTTGTTAATCACGAAGGCCTTTTTTGGGACCAATTTTATTTTATTTTTTGTTTACATTTTCTCTTTTGTTGTTAAGAACACGTTTGTTTAGTTTGTTTTTTATATGTTATAATTTTTTTGTTTCTAAAAGTAAATTAGTATATTTTTGGAAATACTAAAGATAACTTTGAAGTATTTTGAATGTTTTCAAAAAACAACCGTATCTTAATCAATTATGCCAAACATTTTTATTGGAAATCAAAATATAAGTAAAATAAAATAAAAATAAAAAATAGAAAACATTAAACAAAAATGATCACAAACAGCCTCCAAGCAAATTGAATTTCAATCTAATTTCTAACAATATATGTTTGTTGTTATCTGCTCTTTCCCATCACAACAAAAGACCTCACACAAACTGTTCACATTGGAACTTCATTACGACTAACTTTTTCTATTGCCATCTTTGCTTAGAGAACCAATTGCGGAACAGAAGTTCAAAGAGATTAGCAATGCATATGAGGTCCGTCTCACGTCTCAGCTTTAGTTCAAGCAAGTTCCATTGTATTAATTCTGTGCTCTCAGAATTTCTTTTATAACATAATCCTACTTTTCAGGTTTTGTCAGATGATGAGAAACGATCTATTTATGACAAATATGGAGAAGCTGGTCTTAAAGGTGTTGGTGCAGGCATGGGGGTGAGTTCCTCTGATAAAATAAATTATAATTATCTTTATCTGTCTCTTTAATTCATATTCCTTCTTCATAAGCCTATTTGTCTCCTTGAATGCAGGATTTCAGCAACCCATTCGATCTATTCGAGTCATTATTCGAAGGTATGGGTGGAATGGGTGGCATGGGAAGCAGGGCTTCACGCAATCGTCCTACACAAGGGGACGATGAGAGCTATAATATCGTCCTGAACTTCAAAGAAGCCATCTTTGGTGTCGAGAAGGAGATCGAGATAACTCGGCTTGAGAGCTGTGGCACCTGCGATGGATCAGGAGCGAAACCCGGCACGAAGCCATCCAAGTGCATCACTTGTGGCGGTCAAGGCCAGGTCATCTCTTCCGCAAGGACACCTCTCGGTGTTTTCCAGCAGGTCATGACTTGTTCCACATGCAGCGGTACTGGCGAATCCTCTACCCCATGCGGTACTTGTGGCGGTGACGGACGCGTGAGAAAGAGCAAGCGAATCAGTTTGAAAGTTCCGGCCGGAGTTGACTCCGGTAGCCGGCTCAGAGTACGGTCCGAGGGAAATGCCGGACGAAGGGGCGGTCCGCCCGGCGATCTTTACGTCTTCATCGAGGTTCTCTCTGACCCCGTGCTAAAGAGGGATGGCAACAACATTCTATATACGTGCAAGGTATCGTACATCGATGCCATTCTTGGAACTACGATCAATGTTCCGACAGTCGACGGGACTGTCGATCTGAAGATTCCGGCGGGGACTCAGCCAGGAACAACGCTGGTGATGTCAAAGAAGGGGGTTCCTTATTTGGGCAAGCCGAACACTCGGGGGGATGAGTTGGTCCGGGTGCAGGTAGAGATTCCAAAAAGGTTGAGTGGCGAAGAGAAGAAGCTAATTGAAGAACTTGCCAGTCTCAGCAAAGCTAAAACTGCAAACAGCAGGAGATAGTAAGTTTTCAGAGGCCTTTACCATGGTTATATATTGCTATTGCAGTTCTTAGCTCTTAGGATATATGAAGATTATATCACAATTAGTTTTGAAGTCTATCAAAGGCCGTGCATGAAATATTGATAGGTATTTGTTGTATAAACTAACTTATTGAGATTGTAGCTGGTGATCAAGCGAAGAGTGTAAGTGGATTTTTTAATTTTTTAATTTTAAAACTAACTTATTGAGATTGTAGCTGGTGATCAAGCAAAGAGTGTAAGAGGATTTTTTAATTTTTTAATTTTATTCTTGTGTTATGGTCCGTATATTGTAGGGGTGAATGTTCACTTATTGCATCGATTCCTTTAGAAATTTTGGGTTATTTACATATTTACCACACAACTCTTATGTATTTACATATCCAATAGGTCTTTGACATTTATATTTACAAGACTTTGGTGTTATAAACCTATGCATGTAAATGTGTATTTCATTTTTGAAAAGTTGGTAATAGCGATATGTTTTTTATGCATGTAAATATCAATGTCTGGGTGTTAGATATGTAAATATATGAGAATTGTGTGGCGTGTATGTGAATGCCACCAGAACACTTGAATTATGGAAGAGACGGAGGGCATTCTTCTAGAGTGCAGTTTAATAGGATTTTATTGCTAATATGGGCGTAACTTAATGTACTATTTTATAAATAGTAGCTGCAATAATATTAACTGCTATGCGTACATGAAAAAAATATATATATATAAGCTATGTATAGATGTAAAGTAGGGGTGTAAATGAGTCGAATTTGAGGGAGCTTAAAGTTTGCTCGTGTTTGACTCGTTTGATTTTTTTTTTTACTTTATTCGTGTTGGGCTCGTGTTTGAAATGGTTCATGAATTTGTTTGTTTGTGGTCGGCTCGATTAAAATTTGTTTGTTCGAATTAAACTATATTTGGTTTGGTTCGGCTTGAAATAATAATTTATTATTTTAATTATATAATTAAATTATTATTTAAAAACTACCTTCAACTTGAAGTGGCTTGCATTAAAGAGATTCATTTTTTTTATACAGAATCGGTGAAGTTCCTTTTTAGAATTGTGCCTTGTGGGATTAAACGACGGTGCTTTTAGTGAGGATGGTTGCTTAGCGTATGGTTTAGATTTGAGAGTAATTTTTTTTAGTATTTTCATGCGTACCATTTAATTTTTATGCATTTACATATCTAATATATAAATAATTTGTTTTTTTATTTACAGAACTAGGTAAAATCATTTAAATTTTAATATAATTTAATATATTTTATATTACAAAATATAAATGCAATGTATAAATATTATATTTATATTATTTATTTTTCATTCGATTTAAATTGACCCGAATACGAACTAATAAACTTTTGTTTTTGTTCCGCACATTTATAAATCGAGCTAAAAAAATTTATTCGTGTTTGTCATATTTACTTGACGAATGAATTGAACACGAGCTGTTTGTGAACGAATTTTTTTAACAGCCCTGATATGAACTGAGTTTTCTTAGGAATTGTTGTCATTGTGTCATTAGTTTAGGTCAGTTAATGATTAGATTTTGAGTTGATCATTTTTCAGCTTAAAATTGCTTCAAAATTATTTAATTTGATTTTAACTCAAAGGTGATTAAAAGCTTGCTGGATATAATCTTATTGATTTTGGTATGGCTCATTAACTTCAATTCAAGTAAAAATCGATCTAATATATATATATATATACAAGCAATAAATAAATAAATAAAGGCAGCCATATAGCCGATTCAAATGTCAATCGATCGAGCTAGAGCGAGTGGTTAGTTAAATCATGATTGTATTTTTTTTTTTACAAAATTAGAAGCAATGGTTAAAAGTTTAACACTGACTTTGCTGCATGCTAGGACAATTTGAGATGATAGAGATATATTAAAGTATTAGAATTGTACAAAAATTCAATAGATACAAAGATAAAAGAAGAGTTGATAGAGGGGACATTACAGGTTTCTGTATATAAATTCTAAACGAGAAAATATAACGGGGCATCGTCCAGTTGAAATGATTTCACAATTTATATGTATGTTATAAGACATAATCTACCCTTAATCAACAAAATATAGTATTACAAAAGGGAGAAAGTATTGAGAAGTGATAGTGACCCGCTTGCGATTAAGGAAGACTGACGACATAGGCTATGATAATGATTTGGATTAATTATCACTGATGATGATCGGAGCTAGAAAACAATGTTCTAGCAACATTAGTAGTAATAGCTTCACAACCACGATCTGATAATGACGATTTGACATTAGAGGTCCAACAGTGGCAATGACGTTAGTCTTGCACTGATACTCTGACGACAACTATGATTGAGGTCAAGCAATGGTGGCAGCGAAAATTTATCGTGCTACAATGGTTGATAGGCGGATATAACTTGATGATAGTGAGGGTCGAGAGATAATGACCCAGCGAAGATGGTAGTGTTCCTGTGATGGCTGCTTGACGGAAATCTGGAGATGATGAAATGACAATAGTGACGATGTACCACAATAGTTGCGATGACAGAGTGACAATGATCGAGCACAATGGCGGCTTGGAGATGTGATATGGTGATAGTGACAGTATACCGCATCACTGGTGACTGTCGGGAAGGTTTCATCATAACGTCAGTTGGAAGATTATGATCTTATGATGGCGATAGTGTACCACAATATATGTAGTTGTTAAGCGAACGATCTTGAGACTCTTATGATGATGGTAGTGTTTCTGCAATGACAGCTTGATGATGGTGATGACAACCCGGTAATAGTCGTCTGAGTGATGGCTCTATGTCGATCGGGTGAATGTAGTCTTATGGCAACAGTACTTGGCAACTGTTGTACAAAACGATAATGGTAGTACAACGATGGAGGTTTGATGACAGAGGCAGTGGCTTGGCATTGGTCGATTTTCATTGGTTCAGTGGTCACGATGGCTCACTGAAGGGGGCTCGATAGAGTGGCAACAACCAAGTGATGGCGGCCTGACTGCAGTGGTGGCGGCTTGATATCAGTCTGATTTCGGTGGTCCAGTTGTGACAATGGCCTAACGATGGTGATATGACAATACATCGATGTTCCAATGACAACGCCTTGACGATGGCTTAATGATGGTGGACTGACGATCAATCTAGCATGGAAGTGGCTCTATGTTGACCGTGTGATGGTGATCCTATGGCGATGACACCCTGATAACAATGGTACAACCTGCCTTTGGTGGTATGATGATGGCGGTCTGCAGTGGCTGTGGTGGCTCAACATCAGTTGGGAGTCAATGGTCTTTCGCAATCATAGACCAACATTGTGGCCGAGAGTCAATGGTCTAGTGATGGTAACTTGACTGAGGGAGCGGCCGTGGCGGAGGACCAACGATAGTGGACCGACGATGATAGTGGTAACCAGATAACAGTGGACTGGCACGACGGCGGTGACCCAACTTTAGCAATTTGGCACGACGATGGTGGCCCAACGTTGATTGGGTGACCGTAGTTCTATGGCAATGACAACAATGATCGCGGAGGAGGCCAAGTTATGGCATTCCGGCAGTGGCGACGGCAATTGGTCGACCATGGCGGCCAGGAAACAGTGTTTCTGCCATGGGTGGCAACTACGAGGTGGCAATGGTCCAGAGATGACGACAGCCCGAATACAAGCCTGTTTGGAGCAACTACAACTTATTAAAAAACTGTTGTTAAATTCATTTATTTTTATGAACAGTAATGTTTAAAGTTTATGAACAAACTTGAGCAGCTTAATTAAGTCATCACAACCACTTTGATAGCCGCCATCATCAATAATTGTCCCTAAATCTTCTCATCTAATCAGGGCATGCCCAATTAACTTTTTAATTTTTGACATAATTTATGATGAAGCTTTGTTGTATTAGATTTTTTGAGTTATGCCATCCTTGTGTTTGGGCCTCATGTGGCAAGTCATTCCATGTATTAGGTATTTGTGGACTTATGCTTGAGCTAGTTTAACCACTCAACCTATTTCCTAATCTTAATTGATAAGTTTGACTGGATTTACCACCAACATTATCAAAGTTGACATTCATATCACCATTTTGACTTTACAAGTCCTTTTTGACTTATCATTCATCATCCTCATCTCCATAACCTTCCTTTCTCTCCCCTTATTTGCTTCGATTGAAGCTATAGACTCAACATGAGTTTGAATAATTCTAAAGAAGAGCTTCGAGATCCATCCCTCCATCACTCATCCTCCACTTTTACAAGTAAAAATTGCACCTCTTGCACTACCCTCCTGCTTTGACTCTATACATACAACATCGTTTGGAATAAAAATCATGATAACCGTTGAATGGATGATAACTGTTGAATGAATGTGGCATGAATGTAAATGCTCCAATTTTAGGGTATATATTAGGAGCAATTACAAATATAACACTCCAATCTTCAAATTCTCACTCAACCATCAAAATTCACTGCAAAACCCAACCCCTATTTTTCATCCTTAATTAAATTTGTAATGACTTCAGTAGCTCAAAAAAACACCTAGGTGCTAAATTTGTAAAAAGCAATCTTACCAGTGCAATGCATCTAATTAATATAAAAATACCTAGTATGATTTCACATAAAGCTCCAGCATATACCTATCAGAGTACAACTTTGAATTAAAAAAAAAACATCTTTCGTCTAAGTTCATGAAGCAGACGAAGGTGAAATCAAATAGTTCTTGAATCATATAAACATAATGTAGAGGCATGAGACAAAATATAACCCAAAGCAACACAAGAAAAGAGAAGATGTCTCCAAATCACATAAATCAAATTCATGTTCAAGAAATCAATCAAGTACTACAACATAAACAACAATTTTCATTTCTCAATACAGTACTGAATGTTTTTTTTTTCCTTTCCAGGCCATTTCTTCAAGCAGAAAACAACGTTAAAATATAAGATTAAATATAAGATTGAGGCAAAAAAATATAGGCTTGGAATATTATTATAATAGAAAAAAGTAGAAGAGATTAGCCTAGTCCTTGTATTTCATGTCAGAAATATGAAATCCAGGCATATCGAATGAAGCAGAAAATTTCTCTACAGCAGACTTCAAGTTATCGATGCCTTCGTTGTTCACTAAGCCCTTATTGAAGTCTTTCAGGAGCTTACCGTGTTCCTTCTGGATGCTGAGGGTGATGCTCACCGCTTGGTGGAGAAACTCTCCGATTTGCTCAAAGTCCTTCTCGAGCAATCCCCTGGATGTCATTGCAGGCGCTCCTGCAAAATAGGAATTATAAGAGAGTTGTCAGTTTGTCGCCTACTGAAGCAATCGAATGTAGTTTTCCTCGTATCCAATGCATAAACTTTAATTTTTATATTTATACCACCCAAAGATTTCATATCACATCAAAAAATTACCATCATTTTAACTTTTAAAAGTGAGATACACCTTTTAATGCATAGGTAAGGTGGAATGTATGTCAAAATTGAAGTTTAGGTGTTAGATATGTAAATACATAAGAACTGAGTGATATGTATGTAAATCACAACAATATTTCAAAACATAGACATATGGCTTTGCCTATGCAAAAAGTAAAGTGCATAAAAGAACATAAGTTTTGTCAACAAGCAAATGCATTTTGAAACATACAAACATTTCCAATCTTAAAGAAAAAAAAACTTAGGTCGCCATTATAAAAATTAGATTTTTAAGCATTGTTTCAGTTTTAAAGGAAAAAAAGACTGATATTATAAATTTCATGTATAATTGTGAGATTTTTAAGCATTGTTTCAGTTTTAAAGGAAAAACAAAAGGACTGATAGTATAAATTTCATGTATAATTGCACAAAAACAGTTGAATTCGGAGAAGACAAGCAATTGACATTTATACCAATCCGGACACCTCCAGGAGCCAGAGCACTGCTGTCACCAAAAACAGCATTTTTGTTGAGTGTTATGTTGCAAAGATCACAGAGCTTCTCCACCTTATTACCTGGTAAGAACGAAAAAAAAGAAAAATAGGCATTTATGAAAGAATCTATCTTCAATCTCACAAAATCAAACAGCCACAACATCCAAAAGGAGGAATTTGACAATACCAGTTAAGCCAAGAGGTCTCAAATCCCAAAGAATCAAGTGATTTTCGGTCCCACCCGTAACAATATTGTATCCCTTGCTCATCAAATGATTTCCAAGTGCAGCAGCATTGGCCTTTACCTGCTTAGCATAAGCCCTAAATCCAGGCAAAGTGGCCTGCTTTAAGGCTACAGCCAATGCAGCAATCTGGTGATTGTGAGGGCCACCTTGGAGGGATGGGAACACAGCAAAGTTGACCTTGTCTTCAAAATCATAAACGGCATCCTCAGGCTGACCCTTCTTGGGAGGCTTAGGGCCTTTTCTGTAGAAAATCATACCAGATCTTGGACCTCGAAGGCTTTTGTGGGTTGTAGTGGTGACAATATCACAGTATTCAAAGGGATTATTAGCTTCCTGTATCAAATAAGAAAATGAAACAAGAAAATAGAAAACAAAAACTATAAGCAACGATTAAATGAAGGTCTCCGCTGGTGGAATCAATCGGCCCATAAGTAAAGGGCAACACATTGTCATATGCAAAAAAGATTTTAATTATTTTTACTTCAATTAAGTTAAAACAAGCATAGATCTCTCCAAACTAACCATTCTGGATATCCAATTGCAATAGGTGACAAAAAAAAAGATGAAATAGAAAAACCAAAATTGAGCAGACTACGTCAACCGAACGACAGATCTATCTTATTTTAAATTATCATTCGCGAAGATCATTCTCTCTATAACATGCAGGCATTCCTATCAATAACAACTGTTACTTACTATGAAAGAACAAATGATTTCTTCCGTTAACACCACCGCAAGTCAAGATTATCAGATCTCCAGCTCAATTGTGGAATTTAAATTTAATAAATTGGTAAATTTAAAAAGATTATTCTCTAATATCCCAATTGGACAGAAATTTTAGTTAAAACAAGCAAAAAACAACACAATAAAAACAGTGGAAATCAACAAAACCAATGAAACATGGTAACAAAGTACCTGGGCAGCGACAAGGCCACTGATGTGAGCCATGTCGCAGAGTAGCAGCGCCCCGCACTTGTCCGCAATGGACTTAAACCGCCCATAATCCCAATCCCTCGGGTACGCGCTCCCACCGCAGATAATGAGCTTGGGGCGGAAATCCAAAGCCTTCTCTTCAAGCCTATCATAGTCCAAGAAACCCGTAGTCGGATTCACCTTATAAGGGAGACTCTCGAAATAGATCGAAGTGGCTGAAATCTTCTTCCCACCAGCAGTATAGTATCCATGCGTGAGATGGCCCCCAGAAGGCAGATCAAGCCCCATAATCCGATCATGAGGGTTGAGAAGCGCGGTGTAAGCGGCAAAGTTAGCGGGGCTGCCAGAATAGGGTTGGACATTGACGCCCCATTTATCAGCATCAAGGTGGAAGACCTGGAGAGCGCGGGAGCGGCAGAGGTTCTCGATCTCGTCGATAAACTCGTTACCCCCGTAGTAGCGGTTACCAGGCATGCCCTCGGAGTACTTGTTGGTTAGAGCGCTGCCAAGGGCCTCGATGACGGCGAAGGACGTGAAGTTCTCGGAGGCGATGAGCTCGATGCCGCGGCACTGGCGGCGTTTCTCCTTCTCGATGAGATCGTGGATCTCGGGGTCAACAGAGGAGAGGGGTGTGAGGCCCCATGAGGCGACGGACTCCATTGTCGTAGAAATGGAGAGGATAGGGCTTCCAACGGCCGGGGGGGGGGGGGGG